GAGGAAGGAAGGCTTTTTGGGTCATCTTTTCCTAAAGTGAAGCTTACATCTTCAAGTTCACACCTTTAGCTCAAAGATTTACCTTTTACCAACAAGAATTCTCCTTTAAACAAGAACACACCTTCAAAAACATGCTCAAGAGTTAGAGCTTATGAACACAAGAGAGAAAGATGAGGTTTTTCAAGAAAATTTTAAGAAACTTACACTAAAAATCAAGAGAACCAAGCACACAAGTGTTGTTCTTCAAGAGAACTCAAGAACACAACTCCATGGCCTTGGAACTTCACAAAACCATGGATGTACAAGAGGGAAATGACCACGAAAATTTGATTCACACCATGAAAATGGGATGGTTGTGAAGAGGAGACTGAGGGGAACAATCTTTGTGCAGGGGGTTTAGTGGTTTGGAGAGGTTTTGGAGGAGAAATCTTAGAGAAAAGTGAGAGCAAAGTTTGGAATTTGAATTTTAGAGAGAGGGAGGAGGAGGGAGGGGCTGAATCAGAATGAGAAGGGAAGGAGGAGGTGCCCTAATTAGGGTTGCCATGTCACTTTAGTGGCACTTTGTCCTTTAATGAAACCTGGTGTAATTTTTTTCTGAACCATTATCAAATTTTTACCCGGAAACACCCAAGACTCTAACTTTAAGTACTTAACATTAATTTCGTCTAATTATCATGTTCATAATTGATATGTGTCCAGCATATGATGCTTTCTAAGCTAAAAGAAGCAAGGAATTAATCATAAATGGATGAAAATAGTTCATAAATGTTAGAAATGTTGATTATTCCTTCTCAATCATTCTCTCACTCAATTTATACATTTTGACAGCAGGAAACATCAAAAAAAAGCGAAAAGAGAGAAGTCAACAATGCAAGTCCCGCGCAAATCGCGCAATGAATGGCGTGATCCGCGTTATAAGACCAATTTCTCTCTGTTTTGCCGCGCGACCCACACAAATCTGGCGCGGAACGCGCGGGCGGCTTTTATGATTACTAATTGTTGCGAATTATATTTGATTAAGCCCAATTTGAGGGTAATTTTGGAAGACCTTTGCCTAACCCTAATAAAGGATATCATAAAGGAAGGTAGGACAATTTTTGGCAGAGGAGAAGAGAATAGAAAGAAGAGAGAGAGAATTCTTGAGAGTTCTTGGAGAGTTTGAAGAATCTCACGATCAAGATTGAGGATCGTCATCATATTCTTCATCATAGGTTCTGAATTTTCTTTTCTTTTACTTTGAATTCGTCAGACATGAATAGGTCTGGCTAGTTTTTGTTATTGTGGTAAGGGTCACAACCCTTAATGTGAACCCCTTGTAGTTTGGTTAATTTTATATTTGTTTATTCCAATTGAGTTTATTTTGCCTTGTTCTTCATCTCATAATTCTTCTAGAACCGATCAATCTATTAGGATTGTGAAGGTTAGGGTTTTCAATAGGGATATTGGGATTCTAATTCCTGACAAAAGACAAGATAACTGTTCATGTATGCACTAGGGATAGGCTACATGAATCGCAAACGTGAAAGATTCACTGATTCTAAAGCTTAACTTGAAAAGGGATTTCTAAGAGATTAGGATTCTAATAGAGTTAATAAGGTTAAAGTCATTAAGGAATTAGGTCTTAACCAATTAAATAAAAGACAGTGAATCGTTTGATCAATTGCATAATTAAATTTAAACATTAATTCATGTTACAAGGTGGGGATCATAAAAGTGTTTGTTTCACTTTATCGCAATATTTTCTCAACCATTAATCTTTTTTTCTTGAGTTTAAAAAGAATCTTGGAAACTATTTTTACTTTCTTGATTTGTTCTTGTTTTTCACAAATCACAATTGTTCTTTAAATCAATTTTATTAATCCGACAAGAAAGGAATATTTATAATAAATTTGGTGCCTCAATCCTCGTGGAGACGATACTCTACTTATCACTTATTACTTGGAACGATCGGTATACTTGCCGAGTTCGCAACAATAACTTAAAAATTTGATTAGTGAATCATAAATCCATTAATAGTTGTTTAATTGCACTGTAGTCTTTACCAGTATTCTTAACGGTACCCGATTTCATAATCTTCTTAACTTTAACATTATTGGTCTAATCATGACTTGTTAGGCATATATTGGTCTTTATTTCCATTTTCACATCTTTTTCCCGTTCCGGGATTCTACCGGCTGCTTCTACAGCAGTACAAAATACCTGACAAAAGTGACTTTTTCCAAAATACCCCAATATGGGTATCAATCTTCATCAAATTATATACTAACCTCATTCATGATATTTATATCATTATATTATTTCTCTAACTATAATTTGCTAACTTGGAGCTATTCTACTGACTGTTATTGCATCAGCAGTCAAAAATAACAGATGAAAAATCACCTGAGTAACATATTCTCAATATGGATATCAAAATTCTTATAATTTCATCCTCATTTCATTTATGAGGCTAACGAGCCAAGTCATGTCAAGCCATTTGTTTTTTTTATAAACAGGTCAAGTCAAGTTAACAGTTAGACTCATATTAGGCTCGAGCCAAGTCAAATTGAAATTTTTTGACATAGACTTGGGCTTTTCGGGACAAAGTTTGGCTTGGCCCAGCCCAGCTCACTTTCACTCCAACTTTCTGGTACTGTAGCTTAGCTACGATTATTTTTATTCATGTTTAAAGCAAAACTTATTTTTAAAAATAAGTCAATGTCATGGTATATGCTGGCTTCAATGTGGCTCCCTGTTGTAGTGAGGGCTCTTGTCATAAAATTAAGATAAAAAGCTTCAATTAAGAATAATTTTTTAAGTTCCTAATTTATTGGTTATTTTAGTTTTTTGGTTTGAATATTTTACCTAACGTTTTAAAAGCCTTCATTAGCAATATATATAAAACATGAAGTATAAAACATGAAGCTTTTTAATATATTAAAAACTTAAAAAAAAACATTTTTAAGTGATTAAAATAAACAATAAAATTTTTTTTGGAGATTTTTCAATCGGTACATCACTTCGCGACTAGTCTGATTCAGGGCAGGTCTTGGGATTAAGACTTTAAACTCCTCCCAAAGACAATACTGTGAAGAATCAAAAACATGATCTCACATATACTTTTAAGAAATATATTTAAAAACTATTTTGAAATAAATTTTGTATTGTAAGTTAAAAACTAACAATAAATATCCATAAATTTATAATAATTAGGCTAATAATGCACCAACTTAAAATAAAATATTTTTTACAGGAATCAACTATTTATTGAAAATACTTATATTAAACATTTATAGGATTAATATTTTTTATATTGTAAGAGATAAAATTATCTTCTACTCATTTAAAAATATATGGGGCTCATTTTTTCTCTCTCTTCTTTTCACGTGACCTTTACTTTTTTAATGGTAAACTAAAACAGTAAAACCACATAGCCTCTACTTGTATGTGTATATAAAATTAGGAAAAAGTGTTTGTCATTTAAAATGACATAAAATTATGTCATTTTAAGAGAGAGATAGACACGAAATGAAATTTTTTATTTAAAATTTAAATTAAAAAAATCCCTCACTTTCTCCCCATGATTTTTATTTTTTGTGTCTATCTCTCTTCTAAAATGACATAACTTGTGTCATTTAAAATGACAAAATCAAACCCAGAAAATAATATTACGTATATGTTATATAAGTTTGCTTTTACTGCAGATAAGTTATCTGCAGTAAGCTTAATACGACGTCGTTTTAGGGAGAAATTATGTTGTTTTTGTAATTTTAATTTATTTCAAGGTTATTATAATATTTATAATTATAATTTTTTAATTTTTTAATTTTAAAACGATGTCATTTTGAGAATAAATATAGATAACTTATATGTAGGGGTGAAAGTGGGCTGGGCTGGGCCAAGCTTTGCTCTGAAAAGCCCAAGCCTACGTCAAAAAATTTCAATTTGGCCTGACCCAAGCCTAGTATGAGTCTAACTGTTAGCCTGGTTTGGCCCGTTTATAAAAAAACAAATGGCCTGGCTTGGCCCGTTAGCCTGTTAATTTTTAACTTCCAAGCAGAACCATGAATCAACTTTACAAAGTACTCAAATTCAGTTGCTACACCAAAAATCATAATTTCAACGTCCAAACAGAATCATGAATCATAACAAAACTCATACAATATGCACTTAAGTCATTTTCGAAAGCAAAATGCTAACATATATTTCATCAGATCCAATAAACAAATCCATACTATGTAAATTAAAATAACTACATGAATCCAACAAACAAATCATGATGCTTGTAGTAAGTATAACTCTCCCAAAAATCTTTTAATATATTCATATATACAATCTAACATGTTGAGATGTTGGTTCCACCTATATAAGAAATAAAATAAGATTTCTATTAAAATATAATCGAATATAATTAAGTTATAAATAATTGCAATTGATTAAATTTATATCTTTTGTTTTTTCTTCAAGACATACTTAGTCTATATTATTTTATTTAAAATAAATAGTATAATATAGGCTGGCCTGTGGGCTTATAGGCCCGGCCTTTTGAAAGTGGGCCTACAGCCTTTTTATTAAACAGGCTTTTTTAAGGCCCAAGCCCGACCTATTATACAAAATATACTAGGTCAGATCTGATCTGATGTAGGCCGAGCCGTAGGCCCCTGTAGGCCAGCCCAGCCCAGTTTCACCCCTACTTATATGCAATAAGTGCCGAAATATTGTTTGTACGTTTGCGGGAAAGGAAAACCATTTTCTCAGTGACACTTCGACTTTTAAGTACTTTATTTAATTTAAAAATTGCGGGCCCCACCAAACATATGAGTCGGCAGGTAATGTTGCTTGTTTCCATAAACATGACGGAAGTAAACCCCTACAAAGTTTTCAGCAACAAAAAATCCTCACACTCTGAGTATTCATCTGTGATTAGATCGGTAACCAAAAACATTCATAATATAGCTTAAAAATCTTACCTCAAACGTTATAAGATAGACAACACAGTGTTGTGTGTCTGTTCCATTTCCATGGAGGTTCAAGTAGTAGCTCTTCCCACGAGCCACGTGGTGGTTGTGCCATACCCATCCCGTGGCCATATCAACCCCATCATGAACCTCTGCAAGTTGCTCCTGTCTAACAACTCTGACATCCTCGTCACTTTCGTTGTAACCGAACAATGGTTAAACTTAATCAGCTCCGAAAGCAAACCTATCAACTTAAGATTCGCCTCCATTCCTAACGTTGTTCCCGACCTAGATCGTTCGGCACACAACTTCCTCAACGTGGTTGAAGCTGTTATGACGAAGATGGAAGCGCCGCTTGAGGAGCTACTCGATCGGCTTCAGCCGCCGCCAACAATCATCATGTGCGATGCTTTTCTCTTCTGGGCGGTTGGCGTCGGAAACCGGAGGAATATTCCGGTGGCGGCGTTTTGGACAACATCGACGTCGGAGTTATGGGTTCAATATTACCATATTTTCCAACAAAACCTGCTAGGTGAGTATCATAATCATATTTTGATAAACTCCACGGATCTCTTCTCTTTTTTTCTATTTGTATGTATTTTATTATATCATTATATACGACGTTTGAATATAAGAAATACATACTTCAGTTTTTTTTAATTAAAAAATAGTGTAAAAAAGGATAAAGATTTATGTACAATAAACATTTCTCTTTTCTCTTTTCTCTTTATGTTATCGATATATTTTTAAGTGTAGAAATATGTATAATTCCTATTGCGATAAATGGTAGGACTGGTGACCAAATAAATTATGCTGGGCAAAAAGCTTGCTCGGTGCAGACAATGAAAGCTTGAAAAAGAAATTTTAACTAATATTTATTTATTTATTTGGTAGAGAATATTTATTTATTTTAATTAAATAACTTTTTAATCAAGTAAAAATATTAATCAAAATATCTATATATTTACTGATTTTAATAATTCTCCAAAATAAAAGAGATTAAAAACTAATGGTGTAAGTTCAATTCCCATCATTGTATAGGTAGAGAATGCAAAAAAAAAAGTAGTTATTTTTTGCTCTACTTTGGCCTCTAGGTAGAGAATGCAAAAAAAAACATTATATAATTTCACATTATAGGAGATTGGATTGTGAGACTTTCATATAGAGAAATACATTTATACTTTCAGAGTATTATATTTGTGTTTAATTTTAGTGAATTTAAGGATATCTAATTTATCAATTTTATAATTAAATGATGTAGTAATACACTATTAAATGATTGTAAAATGTTTTTTTACACTGATAGTATATTCAAATTAAATTCAAGCAAAATATACGTTAAAATAGGGGGGGATTTAAATAAGAGAGAGAGAGAGAGAGAGAGAGAGAGAGAGAGAGAGAGAATTCATAATGAGACGTGTCTAATTGATTTAAGTAGAATTTTAAAAGTATTTATTACAAATATGTAAATAAAAATAATGTATAATTAATTCAAAAGAAATATAATATAAAATTAAAAAACAAAAGTAATGAATTATATATGTTATTCTTTTAAAGACAGTACACTAATGGTTTGACCACTTTCAAAATAGTAAACTCCAATTAAATACATAGAAGTAGATATATTTCTCAATAGTTTAAATATTTAAATTCTATTATATAATATTATGAATTTAGTTTAATACACACATTCATATAATATGTGATGTGATATATTCTCACTTAGATTGATATGTACTACTCTCCGAACAACTAACAATACATTAGAATTTCAGGACCACTTTCAAAATAGTAAACTCCAATTAAATACATAGAAGTAGATATGAATTTAGTTTAATACACACATTCATATAATATATGATGTGATATATTCTCATTTAGATTGATATGTACTACTCTCCGAACAACTAACAATACATTAGAATTTCAGAAAGATTGTTGCTTGTTTGAAGTTCGTAGGGACTAGAAAGGTAATAGGGAAGAGAGAGAGAGAGAGAGAGAGGAGAAGAGATACCAGGACGGGAAGAAAATTTAATATTATTGCCTGCAAGTTACCAAAACAATTGACAAACTTATAAATTGAATTGTACAATCAATTATCCTAATTAATGACAGAATGTCTTAATTCACAGCTAGTCAAATAATAAAAGAGGAAACAAATCCCTAATTAAATGGAAGACAATTAAACATTGCGCTGTCTGTCTAAAAGGACACAATATTAGATGTGGCAAAGTGGGTGGCCCGACTCGTCATCAACCCGTAAAAAAATGAGTTAGCCTGCCCCGCTCCGCTTTTGAAATTAGGCTGAAAAACTCTGCTTGCTCCGCCCCGTATGGCGGGTTGGCTCCCCAGCCTGAGTCTATTTTACACTGACCTGTCTCGGCCAGCCTATGTCCACCATCAACCCGCCAAAAACAAGTCCACCCGCCCCGTCACACTTTTAAGATAGATTGAAAACTTTAGGCCGCCTCACCCTGTTTAGCTGGTGGGGCGAGTTGACCCGCCGAGTCGAGCCCATTTTGCCGTACATGATATGATAGTCGATCCAATGACTTGGGGCCTTAGTAGCTCTGGGCTTAGTAGTTGTAGTAATGTTGGACCCGTTCCCTACAAAGTTCAAGTTAAAAATGTACACCATAATATTGATTTTTTTATTTGACCGGATTTTCTTAAAGGCAGTTGTGAAATTAATCCTTTAAGCCTGAAGTGGTGGCTAGGTAAAGGTCTCTCCAAAATGGTGGCTCTCCCTTGACATTGCAAGTAAATTCTTTTGAGGTTGTAGTTCATTCACACTATGACTAATCAGGGTTGGATAAAATTGCAATTAGTGTGTGTCTGTCTTATAATTTAAATGAATGTAATATGTAATAAGTGAGGACTAAAAATTTATCCAAAAAGGGATGACTCTCCCTGGAAATTGTAAAGTTCTTTTGAAATTGCAGTCCACTCCTGCTAGTATAAATGAAATATTTGGGGATAGTGACATAAAATTTTCAAATATATTCCAATTATTCAAATGCAAATTAATTAAAAAGCTTCATCAATATTGAATTTCTCATCAAAGATTTTTTTATGATATTATATGTAATTATAACATTGAAAGGTATTTTTTTGGGGGAATAACTTTAAGATATTTAAATGCAACTTTGATATGAGTGAGTTACAAAATTTTGATATGTTAACATGCAACTTTCAATAGCTGTTTTTTTTCCCTTTAATTGATAATAATTCACGTTGAGTATTTTGAGTTACTTTCTCCTTGATGTGGAAAGAGCTTCAAAGAAAAAAGAAAGAAACGAGGGGAATTATTCAGCATAACCTGCTGTGTTAGTTTCTTAAATTACATATCACTGATCTCACATCTAATTGTTAAACTGTTTTTACGTTGAAAGTTCATGATATGATTTGCATTTTAATATATTCTTAATCATAGTGTTCCCTGAAGAAACATACACTTGTTTTATTATGCAGAAAATGGTGAAGAAGAACTTATTGATTATATTCCTGCAATGTCCTGGATTCGTCTATCGGATATTCCTCTTCTTGATGGGAAAAACCAACAAATTTTGCAATGGGCTATGAAAAGCTGTGAATGGATGCATAAAGCACAGTACCTGTTATTGCCTTCAATATATGAGCTAGAATCCCAGGTCATTGATGCCTTAAAAGCAAGGTTCACAATACCAATTTACTCTATTGGCCCAAACATACCTTATCTTACTCTCGGAGACAATTCACATGATGCTAACGGTGCTGGCCACAGTTACTTAAACTGGCTAGATCACCAACCCTGTGATTCTGTTTTGTACATCTCATATGGTAGCTTTCTCTCAGTTTCAAGTGCACAAATGGATGAAATAGCAGCTGCTTTGCACAATAGTGGGGTTAGATTCTTGTGGATAATGCATGGAGAGAGTTCAAGGTTGAAAGAGATTTGTGGGAACATGGGGTTGGTTGTACCATGGTGTGACCAATTGAGGGTGTTGTTACATCCTGCTATAGGGGGTTATTGGACACACTGTGGTTGGAATTCTATTATAGAAGGTCTTTTTGCTGGGGTTCCTTTTCTAACCTTTCCACTTGCTATGGATCAACCACTAATTAGTAAGCTCATTGTAGAGGATTGGAAGGTTGGGTGGAGAGTGAAGAAAGAAGATAAATTAGACACATTGGTGAGAAGAGATGAGATTGTTGTCTTGTTGAGGAAATTCATGCAGTTAGATAGTGATGTTGGAAAAGATATGAGAAAAGGGGCCAAAGAGCTTCAACATATATGTCAGCTAGCAATTGCAAAAGAAGGGTCATCTGAAACTAATATCAAAGCCTTTCTGAAGAATATAATAGAGAGTGCTGTGCCACAAGGATCAAACAGACCACAAGCTCAAGTTGGTATTGAGAATCTCAGTTGAATTGCTCTATGTAGGATCTCTTAATAAAGAAAATACCCTTCTCGTTAAATTGTTCTCGAATAATAAAACGCATAACATAAGATTTCCAGAAATTTTCTTTCATTCGGATCAATAACATTTAAGAGACTATCATAACCCAAGAGGTGCACTTATCTTTGAGCCAAGAGAACAACCATTCCTAATAGAAGTAACATCGTGAGTACTCCTAAGAAAAAGATGAGGCCACGGTTAAGCGCAATTGATATATAACATGTTAAAAAGACTCGTCATAGATCAAACTTACACAGAGGGCATGGTACATTATCAATCTTTCATATCCTTACTCTTACAAAAATAATATAAATAAGGCAAATTACAATTTACTCACCTGACATAGTTTCTCACAACTTTATATCTAGAGAATATCAGTGTTACAAAACAGATACATAAGAATTCATTGTCGTTGTATATTTCTTTACCTCAATGAGGGTTCTTTTTATACAAGAGGTCAGTAAAACTAATTGCTAATTAGTAGGTAACTAATTCTTCTATTCTAATCTCTATAGAATCATTTACTGAATAATAGTCTAACAAAGCCTAACAAACTACAAACAGTCTAACAATACATAATTTTAAATTCAAATATATTTCAACACTCCCCCTCAAGTTGGTGCAAAGATATCAATCATGCCCAACTTGTCTATTGCTTCTTGAAATATTTTTGCAGGTCCGGCTTTGGTAAGAACATCAGCAAGTTGTTTTTCAGACTTAATGAATGGAAAGCGAATTATATCTTCACCAAGCTTTTCCTTTACAAAATGCCTGTCAATTTCAACATGTTTGGTCCTATCGTGTTGAATGGGATTATGTGCAATTTGTATGGCAGCCTTGTTGTCACAGTGAAGGTTCATAGGTTGATCTTGAAACAAACCCAGATCTTGTAGAGTTCTTTTTATCCAAAGTAACTCGCATACTCCTTGTGCCATTCCTCTGTATTCAGCTTCTGCACTTGATCTAGCAACCACTTTTTGTTTCTTACTCTTCCAAGTAACCAGATTACCTTCCACAAATGTAAAATACCCTGATGTTGATTGCCTAGTCGTCTTATCTCCCGCCCAATCCGAATCACAAAATCCTTCAATGTGAGATGTGCTGTTTTTTCTGAACAATAATCCTCTCCCAACCGTTCCTTTTAAATATTTCAGAATACGCAATACTGCATCCATATGATCAACACTTGGGGAATGCATAAACCTACTTACCACACTTACTGCATAAGCAATATCAGGACGAGTGTGAGACAAATAGATAAGTTTTCCCACTAATCTCTGGTATATCCCAATATCAGTAGCTATTTGATCAGGATATATTCCAAGCCTGTGATTCATTTCCATAGGAGTTTCAGATGGCTTGCAATCTAACATTCCGGTTTCTGTTAATAGATCCAAGATGTACTTTCTTTGAGAGAGAGAAATCCCTTGTTTTGATCTTGAGATCTTAATTCCTAGAAAGTATTTGAGCTCTCCCAGGCTTTTCATTTCAAATTCAGTGCTCAAGAGTTCTTCTAATTTTTTTATTTCTTCTAAATCATCTCCAGTAATCACCATATCATCCACATACACAATTAGAGCAGTGATTTTTCCTCTTTGTCGCTTTATAAATAAGGTATGGTCAGCATTACTTTGATTATACCCGAATTTCTTCATAGCTGATGAAAATCTCCCAAACCATGCTCTTGGAGATTGTTTAAGACCATACAATGCCTTTTTTAATTTGCATACCTTTGTTATGGGGTTGGATTGTGTCTTAACTCCAGGTGGTGCATCCATATACACTTCTTCCTTGAGATCTCCATTTAGAAAGGCGTTCTTCACATCAAATTGTTTGAGTGGCCAATCCCTATTTGCTGCAAGAGAAAGAAGAATTCGGATTGTATTCAGCTTGGCTACAAGTGCAAACGTGTCTTGGTAGTCAATGCCATATTTTTGGTTGAATCCCTTGGCTACTAAGCGTGCTTTAAACCTGTCAATGCTTCCATCAGCTTTTACTTTTACGGTATACATCCATTTGCAACCAATGGTTCTCTTGCCTTCGGGTAGAGGAACAAGCTCCCATGTTAAATTTTTCTGCAAAGCTTCTAACTCAAAGTTCATGGCTTCTTTCCACCTGGGGTCTTCAAGTGCTTCCTATACATTGTTAGGAATGCATACAATAGATAATTGATTCACTGTTAGAGCATATGAATTAGATAACCTGTGAGTTGATACATAATTGTTAATAGGGTATTTAGCCTTTGCTTGTAAATTTGGTTCATAGACTTTCCTAGGAATTCCTTTGGTTGATCTTACAAAATGCCGTATAGAAGGAAGAATGGGTGGTTCAGGTTCAGAATTTACCGCAATGGAGTGTGGTTCAGATTCAGAGTTTACCTCAAGATTGGAATCAAGGTGTTGTTCAAGAGTATGATGTTGTTCCGGAACATCTCTTGATGATGAATCAGTGTTTGGAGTTAGATGTGGACTACCTGTTTCTGAATGCATGATAATGTCTATTGCCTCAGAAGTGTTTTCAGCTGTATCAGAGTTAGAATTAAAATCTATAAGGACTTCTCCTCCAATTTGTTCATAAGGTTTCTCCCCCTGAGGAGAAGAATCGAGTACTCCCCCTGAAAAAAAAAGGCTTCCATTCATGAAAAGTAACATCCAAAGTGACATGTAGTTTATGGAGAACAGGATAAAAACATCGGTATCCTTTTTGGGAATCCGAATATCCAACAAAGACACATTTAGTAGCACATGGGTCCAACTTGTGACGTAATGGTTTTGGAGTATGGACATAGGCACAACATCCAAAGATTCGTGGTTCCAAATTTGAAACATGCAGGATAGAAAAATAGGATTCAAGTGTTTGTTGAGGGGTTTTGAAACCAAGGACATTAGAAGGTGTTCTATTGATGAGATAGGCAGCAGAGAGGACTGCCTCTCCCCAAAAACGTTTGGGAACATGCATTTCGAAGAGGGAAGCTCGAACAACTTCTAATAAGTGCCTATTTTTCCTTTCAGCTAGACCATTCTGTTGTGGGGTATACGTACAAGATGTTTGATGTTTGATTCCTTTATCATCCAAAAAAGAGGTAAATGTATGGTTGGTATATTCTGTCCCGTTATCTGTTTGTAGAATCTGAATGTGAGAGTTATACTGAGTGAGGATTAAAGAGTGGAAGCGTTTAAAAGCATTAAAAACTTCACTTTTGGTTTTCAGAATACACACCCAAGTCATACGAGTACACTTATCAATAAACGTTACAAAATATCGTGCAAGAGATAAAGACGGTTCCCGAGAGGGACCCCAAACATCAGAATGAATCACTTGAAAAGGAACACTGCTTTTATTTATACTGGGAAGATAGGAGACACGATGACTTTTGGCAAATTCACATGTGTTACATTTAAAATCAGCCTTATTCAAATGGGAAAACATTTGGGGAAACAACTTTTCTAAATATGTAAAAGATGGATGTCCTAATCTATGATGCCACAACCAAACAGAGGAAGAAGTTTTATTAGCAGCAGTAGTATTGAAAGACTTGACAGCGGAGACACAAACATGATTTAAATCCAGAAAATAAAGCTTTCCACGTCTAACACCATAACCAATTGTCATCCGAGTTGAGATGTCCTGAAACAAGCAAAAATCAGGGCAAAAAACAACAGTACAGTTCAAGGATGCAGTAATTCGCGAAACAGATAAGAGGTTAAATTCTAAGGAGGGAACCACCAATACAGAATCCAGGAATAAATGGGGGGATAAGGAAATGGATCATTGGCCAGTGATGGGAGAAGTCTCCCCATTTGCTGTGGAGATACAAGGCATAATGCAAGGTTCACAATTATGTAAATCAGAAGAATCTCTAATCATATAATCTGATGCACCAGTGTCAATTACCCAAGTATGATTTCTAGTAGATGTAGATAAAGCAAGAGTGTTACCAATATGTCCCTGATGTGCAATGTGAGCAGCAGGTGAGGCAGGGATTACAACCGAAGCAGCAGTAGCATCAGGTGTGGTGGTAGGAGCAGGAGCTTTCCGGCGCGGTTGCTTATTGAAATCCCACCAATCGGGATAACCAATGATCTCAAAACATCTTTGCTTGGAGTGACCACTAGCCCCACAGTGAGTGCAAGAAAATTGAGGCATTTTTCCAGAGGAAGAGAAGGAGGACTTACGTGGTTTCAAAGGACCAGAAGGACGAGTCAGCAAGGCATTGGTGTCAGGGGAGGGACGAGCAGAATCCAAGGTGTTCCTTTGATTTATTTCACGACGAACAAAGGCATACGATCCTTCCAAGTCCAGCTTCGGTTCCTTCCGAAGGATTTCTCCTCGGAGGTTGTCAAATTCGGAGTCCAATCCACTGAGAAAAATGTGGACTCTGAGGCGAACCATGGCAGAATGAAGGTGGACAACTCCGTCGACGGTGGATGCCTGGGATGCCGTGCGGTGATCAATTTCTTGAAAAATTGCAATAAGATCATTGTAATATGTGGCCAACGGACGCCCGTGTTGCTTCATCGTGAACGATTGTTGATTCAGTTCGAAGAGCACCGTTTCGTCAGACCCGTCATAGTAGGTGCGCTTGCAAGCCTCCCATATCTCTGATGCTGCATCCAAACGGAGAAACCGAGGCATGAGGGAAGGACTCATGGAATCAATGAGCCAACTCTTAACCTTCTTGTTCTCCGTGACCCAAGTGTCGAAAGCAGGATCAGTGGAGGGGGGTTTCGATTTGGTTCTGGTGAGGAAACCGGTTTTGTTTCTGGCGCCGATCCTCATGTCCATCAGCTGGGACCATATGGGGTAGTTGGATTCATCTAGGATGATGGAAACAGGGAAGGACGATGAATCTTGATGGATGACTATGGGTGATGGGTTGCTGATGGGAGGGTTTCGTTCAGGGGATGAGGGATTTGATTCAGGTGTTTCCATTTGCAAAGAAGAAAAAAAGTGGGTTTGATGAACAGTAA